AGTCAGTTAAAAATGCTATTACTAACTGTATAAACATCTATTTGAGACTCTAAAAATACTCCCACATTCCTCTTTGAGTGGTCGTAATATGAGCACAAGAATCATTCAATTTGGATGTCTGTGCACGGAGATATAAATTTTTAAGTGTCGAAAGGTCAATCTGAAATTTCTGTGCAGTACCTCACTGTTTTTAATAAAACTTCCATATCATATGATCTTGGAAACTCTCTATATTTTAACTTGGGAAACTACTTGGAAATATCTTTCAAATACCACAAATTTCATAGAAAACAGAGTTGGGGTGAATTTTATAAAAATGTTTGAACTGGCTGTCCAAACTAGCCGTGACAGCACCGAGTCCGCATATGTAAAGAATAATTTCAAATCGGCATGCACTCCTGCTGGCCATTAATTTTACTATAAATTAAAAATAGGTTTCCGATATGCATTACATTTTATTTAAGAGTTTTTACATGTAACAAAGGCTGAAGTTATTACGTTAGTACGTGACACTCGAAGCTTAAGTTCGGGGTGTCACAACCACCGCCATCCCTTGTACCACAACCACCGCGACTACCACCTCCACCTCCTCCTCTAATAATCATCAACAACATCAATTGCCATAACAATAGAAAGGCCAATGAGGCCGCAAGCGAGATTGGAAAAAAGGTGAGCATATCCTTGTTCAAGGTTGTAGAAGTTCTAATACTGATAAGATTTAGCCTATCACAGCAATAATCGATTTATAATTACCCAACACTCTAGCCATAACCATTGGCACAATCAACTTCATCACCAACTCTGATCGCATCACATCCATGTACATCGCTATTAGCTGTAGCGTACGTGGCTATCATACAACACACAAAAGAATTAAATAATTTCTTATGCTTCAAATTGAATTGGTGGATATTAAAAGATAGAGTGACAGTGATATCGAGAATGTCAAAGAATATGGATCTGTCAAGAGTGTTGCATTTTTTCTATCATAAGTGTATAATATCGTAACAAGTAATACAGTGGACATTTGAGTCCGAATTATCGTTCTCACGAGGGCTATACTTTAGAACTTAATCAAAATTTTTAAACTCATATGTGATGAAAGTAAACAAAGAATTATATGTTATTGTGATTTCTTTGTTTAAATACTTGAAATTAATTAAAATGCGCACAAAGATTGATGGAAAATTCAAATAATGAACGGATACTAGGGCCCAACAATTTCATCGATTGATCACTTTTAAGTATTAATTCAAGATTTAAAAGTCTAATGTAGTGTTCGATCGAATTCTTCTATTGTATTCAATTTACTCATTTCGAGTTCTCATTGAGCCTATTTAACAAATTCAATCTCCATATCTCTATGCGAATCAACTTTAGTTAAACAAAATATTAGCTCTAAGAATTCATATAATGATAGCAATATTTAATATAAGTATCTATACACGTTATACTAATATACCAAATTTTACTATATGGTCTAAATCTTAAACCCAACTCTCAATTCGTAAAAGATTCACAAAATTATCAAATTATTGATCAAATAATTTAACGTATTAAACTCATAGAAAAATCAACATATGTATTATAAAATAACAAGAATGTTGAATAAAAAAAATAAAGGGTCTCAAGTAGATTACGTTGTTCACCTAATATAAAATTTAGCTATTCATAATGCAAAAAGAAAAACAAGAAGTTGTTATTGAAGATATCATCGAATTTTGAATAAAAATGTAGAAAATGAAATTAATCTTGCAGTAAAATCTTCTTTATCTTCCAATAAATACTTCTAATCTTGAGTTTCTTGATATTCTTCTCCCTTAAATTGCATTCTTCAATCTCTAGTTTTATTTACTTTCTCTCCATGTGTGGAATCCCTCAAAAGTGCAAAGTAACTTGTATTTATGTTCCTTCCCACATTTGTACGAATATAGGATTTTTTGTGGGTTAAAAATTTGGCCCATTGAGGCATCGCGTCACAAAACCATGTGGCATCTGGTGCCACACTTCTATCCCTTTCAAAAGTGTGACACCTCTGGTGTGCTACCTTCATGGCATCTGGGTACCACTCTTCTTTCCTTGATATTCTGATTTGACCATTTTGCCCATTTCGTTACCATGTCAATGTCCTTGTTGTCTCTTTTCTTTCCCTAATTTGCCTCATCTCACCACTCCTACAAAACAACACTAATAAATACATTAAAAACATTTGCAACTCATAATCTTTAGCTCATAATTAAGTTAAAATTGGAATAAAACTCGTGAGTAAAATACATTTTTCAAATACTCCAAAATTTAACAGTTTGTTAGTACTCGAGCAAACACAAAGCAAATGAGAGTACTAAGAATCATACCACGAAAACTTAGTCAAATAGCTTGCCATTTGGCTCAGTATCAAGAACATTATATCAACTCATGAA